ATTATTAAATAGTCTTTTTGGCTTTTATCAAACAAAATATTCTGAAATTGCAACATTGTTTGGTATAAAATTGATTTGACGTTCTAATTCTATTTAATGTAATAAAATAATATGTTATATAATCTTACATGTCATATAAAATCATCAAATAAAAATTCTTATATAGTTTCTGTGACATTTAAAATAAATGTCAAGTTCCATTTATAATCTAAGAATAAGGGATCAAATTACTTTATATATATATATATATATATATATATATATATATATATATATATCTCATATGTAAAATTGTTCTGTACGGGCGTATGATTTGATACTTCTCCTAAACGGTTATTTAGATTTTGATAAATCTTTTGGAGTTTGTGAAGGAAAATTTTTAAGATGTTATGTACTATAAAATTATGGTAATATTGTAAAATAAATAAAAAAAATTTCTAATCATTGTTTAACATTGAAAACATTATGACATCTGCAGTAAATGTAAATTCAATTGAAATTTGAATTTATGTTAAATTATGAGCCTATATTAAATATAAAATTCTTTAGTACCGATGTATGAATTCAAACTCCTCCTACACGGTTACTTGAATTTTGATAAATCTTTTTGGAGTTTGTGAAGGGAACTTTTTAAGATGTCATGTACTATAAAATCATAGTAATATTGTAAAAATAAATGGAAAAAATTGCAAATCATTGTTTGACATTGACAACATTTTGACAGATGAGAACTGTTATCTGCAGGAAATGTCAATTCAATTGAAATTTGAATTTATGTTAAATAATGAACCTATAAAATTATTGAATATAATATTAAAATTCTTATGTACGGATGTATGAATTCAAACTCCTCCTACACGGGTATTCAAATTTTGAGAAATCTTTTTTGAGTTTGTTAAGGGGATTTTTTAAGATGTAAATGATTATAAAAATATAGTAAATATTGAAGAGTTAAGTGTGGGCATTGAGACTCATAATTTTATTTAAAGCAGTTCTACGTTTAACATCATTTATATTGATATATATACATATATTACATTTATATTGATGTATATACATTTTGGTGTAAATAGCAATTTAGAAAACAATAATTATTATTTTTAACTAAACGGTAAATATTAGTATAGGATATTAAAAAAATAAAAATTTTGAATTGTAAATGTGGGTACAGGACAACGTTTGTCGGGTCAGCTAGTATATATATATATATATATATATATATATATATATATACAAAGATTTCAATTTTAATATAACAAAACATATTTTCTTAAACAAGAAATTAGTGATTTTTTGTGATTTTTTTTGTATAGAATTTCCTATTTCTCTTTCCTTCGTAATTTGCTTTAGTTAAGTTTGATTTTTCTTTATCTTTTAAATCTTTTCCCGAAAAGAATAATAAATAAATGTCACATAAAATAAAACTAAATGATGGTAATTTACTACTAGTGTTCAACTTGAAACACAAATAACAAAGTTATGTATATGTATATAAGTAAAAGTTATTATTCAAGAAATCGAACGAAAATTCTCACTTTAGACTATTTAAAAGCAATGCGGTCTACAGATGTTAATATAGGACTCTCACTCAATGCAATAATGGAAACTTATTCGAACAAACATACTTCATCTTTCTTCCTTTCTACCCTTTCACAATCAGTATAGGTTATCCTTATGACAAGTGTCACAATCGTACCCAGTTCCTCTTATATATTCTAGAAATATTATATGCACGTTTCGACACTGTTTGTGTGTCATCATTCAGCAAGGTAACAAATAGCTAGTATATAATTCTGTGTGTGCGTGTGTATGTATGTATATTTTATTTCATAGAAAAATATGTGAGATAAAAAATAAAATCATTACAACGACGCTATAGGTACTTTTTGTTACATCAACTTTCCTTATAGAAAATTCTGAATGAATAAAACAGCGTGCATTCATGCTTCTCGACTCATTTACATTGCACGAAAAGTTTATATTGATACATATACAGGGGTTGATAATCTTTTTGATAATGATAACAAAAAATGTTTATGTTAAAATATTAGATAACATAATTTTTTTTCTCGATTGAACATGTAAACCGTCTTGCTACTGTCTCACAAGCCCACGAGGTAAACAGAACTGTGCAGGTCCGTCATTTTTTTACAGGTAATATCTAATTGTTCTATCATAAAATTTTGGTTTTAGTTATCATCATCGACTAACTATAAATTTCATATATAATATGTTTGCCCTGTGTACTTTAAAGTTGGAACATCCAATAGTTTTCCAGATATGATGTATGGTGCAATACTATTATTCAATACTAATAGTTAAACCGGTGGTATGTTCTCAAAAAAGCATTTTGTGATTTTGATGAAACTTGGCACATATTGTTACTGTACCTTGTCTAAAATGTGACTAAAATTTAAAGTTGGTAAATTCAATAGTTTTCGAGATATGCGAGGTTAACCTCGCTGGGTGGCTGGCTGGCTCTGCGCCCAATACTAATATTTAAACAGATTGTACGTTTTCAAAAATGCATAATTCGATTTTGATGAAACTTGACACATATTTTTACTACACTTTACTAAATATTTGACAAAAATTTAAAGTTGAAACATTCAATAGTTTTTGAGATATGCGAGGTTAATTGGTGGTGGCTGGCTCCGCTCTCAATACTAGTATTGAAATGAGACCCAAATTTAAAGTTGGAAAGTTCAATGTAAAAATCTGTAGAACTAGGTGTGAAAATACAGATTTTTATAAAACAGAAGTAATTCAATTTTTTAGATAGATTCTTTTCTATTAAATGTTGGGTACATCTGGATTTCCACATATGTGTCTAGTGCAAAGTTTATAATCAGATTTTTCTAGTTTGCCACTATTGGCTATGTAAAAACTTTTCAGGAACAAACTTTCTACTAATAAAGTTGGAAGTTTGCTCGTCTCTCTCAAAGGATATAAGGATAGCTTGATTAATTTATTTTGTTTTAAGACCAATTAGTTGGAAAAATTCTATGTGGTCTAGAGAACACATTTACTAATTAAAACTATAGTATAATCATAGTATTTAGTATAACCTTACTACCCTATTATTTTGAACAAAACTAACCATTATTATATTATTTCAAATTTCCTCTAATTAAGCATTTTCATTTGCAAAACAGCAGTCGTACCATCGTCGGAAAAGCAACCAAAGGAGTTTTAATTAAATAAAATAATTATATTCGTCCTAATTTCGTATTCATGAACACCTACTGTTTGCAATTTGTAAATACATACTCCCTCTTTGTGTAAATTGACATAGAAACCAACATTAAATAAATTGTATATAATGGTCCTTTTATTTAGATTTTTTTTGGGACTATTTGTAAAAATATAATTTGTATAAATACGAGATGAGAAAAGGTATTTTTTTCTGTAGACAACAAATATGGAAGAAAATTTGTTGGAACTATATAAGTCAACTTTGGGCATTACAAATCTTGGTACGGAACCCATAGACAACTAGTGGTGCATGGCATCGTGCCTTAAGGCAAATTGCTGGAACTTCCCGTACCAAAAATTGAAATTTTTGAAAAAGACTCAATTTTTGTTTAAAACCCTAAAAAATCGATTATTGAGATTTTTAAAATTTTTGAAATAACAAAAATTTTGATTTTTTTATTCTTTGAAATATTTTGGAAATTTTGAACTTTTTTTTAAAGCAATCGAGATACGTTAGCTGCGTAGAAACGAAATATTGAAGCGCGTGGGCGCCGCGTCGCTGCATAATAGATAAATATTGGTACGGAACCCATAGAATAGTAAACAAAATTTGTTATTATTATTAAAATATCTATAAAATATGTGTTAATTTGATGTGCATATGTCTAATGGTTATTATTAACCCCTAAATGGCATTTTTTAAAGTTTTGTTCCTTGATCTCTAAAATTGCTGCACCTGTCTTTTCAAAAATAAAATAAATTATTCATTCCCTTAATACAAGAGAAATATTTTTTTGAATTATTTAAATTTGCCCCGTCCCCCCAAAACGACTGGACCTGCCTCTGACAAAAATCAGCGCATCTCCTTGCTAATACAAATCGAATGTTTGATTTTTGAATTATTCTTATCGGTTCATCCAAGCTCTCAAAATCGTCGACGAAAATTGTTTATCTGGACATACATATAAACATTCATCCCCACAAAAACTTACATCGCTTTTTTTCTACGGTATGCCAAAATATTCTCTGAAACCGCTGCACCTGCCTTATCAAAAGTTTATTAAAATTCTTCATATCTCCGAAACGATTGGGCCTGCCATTTACAAAATTCAGCACATCTCCTTGTTGACTTGGTGACCCCGAAATGACATTTTTCAAATTTGTTTTCAGGATCTCCAAAACTGCTGCACCTGCCTTCCCAAAAATGTAATAAATTCTTCATTCCGTTATGTTTTTTAAATTATTCAAATCAAACGCTCAGTATTCTTAAAAAGTGAATTTTAATTTTTTTCTTCCAAAACGACTGAATCTGCCTTTGACAAAAATCAGCACATCCCCTTGGTAATACAAATCGAATGTTTTTTGAATCATTCTAATCGGTTCATCCGTGCTCTCGAAATCGTAGGCGCAACTTTATATCCGCATATACATATATACATTCAAAAACCTTTGTAAAGATATGCAAAAATTTTCATTTTCGATTTTTTTGCAATTACTATTATTATTGTACTATTACCATTGTACTTTGTCCATGTCCATTAAGAACAGTTGTAAATCATTTCATGAAATAAAAAAAATCAATTTATCATCAATGAAAACCACGAAGCACACGTTTTTGCTCAGATAACGATTTCAATAACATCAAATAAGTCAATATATACATATATCAGAAATTAAAAAAAAATCATTAAACAACATACAGACGTGCTTATCTGTATATTGATAACACAAAATTATAAATAATATACGATAATTTATTTTGCATATATTTAATACGCAAAATAAATCATTCATTAAGAGTTCTCGATTCGATATAGAGACATCGTGGCCAGTGAAATTTTCTCATTATAATCTTTATTTGATAAAAATGAAATTTTTAAGTGTATTTTTCTTGGTGTTTTTGGTTTTGAGTCTATCTTATGCCAGGATGACGAATTTAGAACATCACAGAGGATCTAGACACCATTCTAAGGATCATTTGGTGAATGATATTGATAATGGTGAGTTTTTTATATAATTGAATAAATCAAACGATTCAAAATGACTTGAAACATTGAGAAAAAAAATATAAAAAATGGGATTTTCTGGAAAAAGAAATTGATTGTTTGGAATTTTTTATTGCATTATGTGGAAAATTTATAATTGTATACATGGTTTTCTACTCTAAGAGTATTTTACATTTCTATTATTTGTTTCTGTTTATATAAACAAAAACAATATAATTAGAAATATATTAAAATGTATATGTGAATAAATACATTTTAATCGCATTTTCATCCGTCTTATTTTCAACATTTTAAAATCATCATGATTCAAATTTTTATATATTTTTATACATAATATTTAATTGTTCAACTTCACATTTAATATAATATTTAATATACAACTATAGTTTTGTAATAAAAAAACAGAATCGAAGTCACTTAACATTTTATATATTGATTATTTTTTAATTTTACTGAATTTTCCAAATGAGACATTCGTACAAGATAATAATAATGGTAATATTATAATTATCTTATACGAATGTAGTTGAATAATAATAAAATTTTATTATTAATACTAATAAATACAGAATATTAGAATGAAGTAATAGATTTTGAAATAAAATCAGACCTAAAAAGTTTTTAAAATTAAGAATAAAATAAAACTAGATGTTAGAGGCATTGTTACAACATTTTTCTCTGTATTTTCCAAACTACTGGACTTGACTTTGCCAAAAACTAATCAACACAACTCCTAATCAATAAGAATCGAATGTTTTTGAATTAATCTAATCGGTTGATCCGTGCTCTTGAAAACATCGAAAAAAATTGCATTTATACATCCACACAAACTGCAGACATATACACACACATACATCCATTTTTTTCTAAAGTGAACCAAAATATTTAGAAACCTTTGAAAGATAAAGACAGTCAAAAATTTTCATTTTCCATTTTTTGTGATTACAAATTTAATATATTTAATATAGTTAATATGTAGTAATTATCAAACATAAATTTATATGTTCATTCAATTAGATTTTTTGTTGATTAAATTTTTATAATTTATGCACGTGGTACTTTTTTATTTAACTATTTTATTATACATAGTATTTGTGCAAAAATTTATGATATTTTGTCGACGATTTTTTAAGAAAAAACAGCTTTAAAAAAAATAAATTGCATATGCATTGAGTAGTTTTATTTAAGATTTTAGCAAAAAATAATGAACCGATTTTGAAAAAAAATATTAAATGTTTTCTCGAAGGATATCAATTGTTTTAATTGACACGTTAATTGCCACAATAATATCAGAAAATTTTGATATGGGCCATGGTAACTTTATTAGATAATTTAGTTAAAAATGTATCAAAGAACTTAATGCACAAAAGAAAAATTTTCTTGCCAAAATTCCTGGAAAAACACTATTTTTTATGTCACACATATACGACTGACAATGACCTATATTAAGACTATTTTCTTCTTCCAAATTGCTTATGTCAGACATATATCAGACATATTACTAACTTCAACTATTAATCTTATATATCTTTTCAGATTTCAACACAATCGACGATTTGGACAGCCACATCTTTGCCCCAAAAATCAACCCTATTTCACCCCTAGCCAGAGATTCTAAAACTAATCATCGACTAGTCGAAAAAACCGTGAGTGGAATATTTGCGCCTGATTCTTCAGCAAGTCGAAGACGAATTGAAAAGTCTTTACATTACAAAAGAAAATGGTTACCTAAGGAAAATTTGGACATTGAGAGGGAAAACGAAATTGAAGATCAGAAATATAATGTGAAGATTAATTTTGATGAATTTTATTGAAGACTAGAAGTAGAAGAATCTCAGTGAAAGCGAATTAAATTTATGCTATTTATTAGAACATGATTTTATTTTATTTTATTATTATAATAATGAATTATATGTTTGCTTAAAATAAAATTACAATGTGATACAAAGATGAATTATTTTTTTGAATCAACTTGATTATGAACTAATTAATTTTTTTTAAAATTCTTTAAAATTTTTTAAATACTTTGAAAAAAAATATTTGAGAAATTTGAGAATTTTGAAATTTTTGGAGTTTTTTGAAAATGTTGAATTTTTTTATACTTTGAATTTTTCTGAAATTTTTGAACTTTTTTTCAAATCAATGGTGCTGCGTGGGTGTTTTAGAGAAGAAATATCGAAGTGCGTAAGCGCCGCATAGCCAGTCTAACAATAACATTGGTACGGAACCCATGGAAATGTAAACAAAATTTATACCTATTTTCAAAATCTCTATGAAATATCTTATATTTTGAACATTTTGGCATACTTTAGAAAAAATTGATGTATGTGTGTGTGTGTGTGTGCGGATACAAATTTTCGTCGACGATTTTGCAAACACGAATCAACCGATTTGAATTATTTAAAAAATATTCGATTTCTATCGATAAGGAGACGTGCTGATTAGTTTTTGGCAAAGGCAAGTCCAGATGTTTCAGAGATACGGGGCAAAAAGTGCCAAAAATGGTACTTCAGTTTTTGAAATAACAGCGCCCGATTTAAATAATAAAAAAAATTTTTACTTGTATTGACAAAAGGAACAACTAGTAAAATTTTTGTAAAGGCAGGTCTAGCGTGTCCGGAGATCTAATTAAAAAGTGAAAATAACGCCATTTGGCGGTCAAAAATTAACATTAGATATATGTACATCGTATTATCAGATATTTTATAAAGATTATAATAATAAGTACAAATTTTGTGTACATTTATATGGGTTCCGTACCAATGTTTACACGTTCGACTCCAAATCTGCTATGCTGCGCTATTGCTTAAAATAAATGTTTAAAATTTAGAAAAAAATCAATACAAAAAAAATCAAAATATAAAAAATCTAATTTTTCATAAAAGTCGTTTTTTTCCAAAAATTTCAAAATTTTGCAAAAATCTAATATTTTCAAACTTTTGCAAAGATTTTTTTTAATAATTTAGTTTTCAGTACAGGAATATCCAGCAATTTGCCTTAAGACACTGTGCCATGCACCACTAATTTTCAAAAAGATCTCAAAAATTTTGAATCTTTTTTAAAAACTTTGATTTTTGGTACGGGAAGTTTCAGACACCTGCCTTAAGACACGATGTCATACGCCACTTGTTTTAGGAATTAACTTGATTATAAAAAAGTGGACTTATATTATGAATGATCATAATATTTTATATAAACCTAAGAAATCTATAAATGGTGTATATTATAACAAATATGACTACTTCAACCGTATATACAGCCTTTACCATAAATCCTTCAAGAACACAATTTTTTCTCAGACATCTTACTCATACAGTTCGGAGCTATAAAACACGATGTGAAAATCCTTTTCGAAAATATGTGCATAATTTATGAAACACGTTTTACAACAGAATGAAGCTTATATAACGTGCATGAGTTTCATAATAAAAATATATATACATACACATTATGGTACAAAATACCGATAAAACGGTTTTATGATATGGAGACATCATTGGCTACATATTTGGAGTATATTGAAAATATTTGTTCGGTGATAGATGAAAATTTTGTACGTCTTTTACTTTTGGCTAAATCAAGGGCTCAAATTTTAATTAATAAAGGGCATGGGCGTGTTTTCATACAGAATTGCCCCCACCGAGAAAATCTGATATGTCTGATATACCATCATTTGACCGAGATGCCATTGAAAATATGTGAAAGTGGCCCCTTTTTTCAAAGTCGTTTTTGGTCGCAACTGTGAAAGATATCAAAAACCAAATAACTGGATTCTATTCATATCGGTGTGTACTATATTATTAATAACAAATATTGTATAATAATTATTTTTTAGTACATAAAAAAGTGAAAATAATTTCTAGTTTTTAATTTTTGGGTAGTGCGGTTGTTTGGATTGATTTTTAATTAGTATCATTAAAAAGACTATTTTATTTTCTTTTACAGTCCAAAATTTTGTTTTGTTTCATGTGGTAGAACACATTCGAAAGTAAGTAAGAAAGTAAGTAAGTAAAGATATTTTCATATAATTTTTATTTTTTATTTCTTTGTGATTATAACAATTTTTATGATTGCTAAATTGTTAATTAGTTATCTTGATTAATGTAATTAAAATCACACCTGGGGTTAGTTGAAACAAAATGCATGGGATTAGTCGCAACCAAATTCTAAGATTGTAAAAGTTGACCAAATTACTATTGGTTACATCACATCTATTATTACTATTTTTCAATTTTAGTTTTGATAATTTGACGACAACTTATTTAAAATTCCACGATTTCCACACGTGCGTTGAATATAAATTTGAATATTAAACAATGTAATATTTTATCTACAAAATTCACATGTTAATATATACATGTAGTACATTTTTATAAGTACTAATAATAATTATTATAAGGAACTTAGATATTGGTATTTGTTTGTTTATTTATTTTCAAAATGTTTTAAAATAAATTTGCGTTTCGATTTTAATATGTAGAAGAGACCTGGTTTAATTGCAATAGCAAATAGAATTAATAATTAAAAAATTACAAATTAAATTTATCATGTAAGTTTTAGAAATGACCAAAAAACATATTTATGCATATTTTATGATGAAACAAAATATAAAAATCCAAACCAGATTTGTTTTTGACTATTTACACATGACTAGTTAGTTAATTAGAAATTCATGTTACTTTTCATGAATTCATGTTGTCATTACTTAAACTCATGTTGTTTTGATGTTTCAAGTTATTCTTAATCTTTTGATATCAACTTTGAAAAATAGTATGTGTCTGTAAGCTGATTTTTAACATTTCTCCAAAATTACTGAACCAATTTTAATAAATTAAAAACCATTCGATGTAACACAATAAGAACTATAAGAAGATCTGAACTCTAAATTCTTTAGTTTATGAAAATCAACATCTCTGCAAGCAGAAAACAAATAACAAAATGTAGATTTTTTTGTAAACTTATTGTGATACAAAACTTAAAATTTCTGACCATATTTATTTACTAATAGTAACCAAAAACAATAAAATTCTATTTATATTCCAAAACCTATTAACTACATATCAATTCATTGCTAAAATAATTCTGGGAATCACTCAAAAAAATGCAAATATTATTTATTTTAAAAGACGAACATAATTATAGCTAATTGCTTACATGTGTACTCATTATTAATTTTATTTTTATGACTTTTTCGAAACGTCATTTATCGCATTTTTTGTGATTTACGATGACGAATTTTTACCAGAATTCTTTCAGGAAAACAAGTACTATAAAGGTAAATTATTTTTAATTTTCCATTCTTTAATAAAATATTATGAATATTTTAAATTATTCTACGCTATTTTTATTCAACTTTTTTATGAATTTCTTGTGTCAAAAAATGAAAATGGTAAAGTGAAGAAAATTGAAAATGATGTTGATGGAAGCGACGGCGTGGAAAACGATGTGTTTTTTGAAAAAAAAACTAGATATTTTATTTTAATAGATCTTATTATTATATAAGAAGTTTCAAATATAACAAAGTTGTATTCATAACATTCTTAAACGTTTTTCAAGTCTTATATATTCTTTCTATAATTTTCAAAAAAAATTCATTAAAATGGGCCTACACAAAATCATCTATAATAAACCACAATATTTAAAAAAAATCACAATTTCCTGAAAAAAAATTGGAAATTGTTTTAGCTTTCCCTCAGAAAAATATCATAAGTAAATTTATTACACAAATATTTTTAAGAACACCATTCAGCAATTTACCAATTGCAAATAATATATGAATTAGCTCCAAATTTGGCAATTTTATTTTATCTTAAAAGTTTCAAGTCATTTTGTGTCATTGGACACTAAAATTGAAAAAAAAATGCATATGTTGAATATTCAATTGCAAGACCTTCTCCATATTTCAAGTTATTATTTCAAAATTTTTAAAATAATTATAAAATTAATTTATTGTTAAATATGGTATATACAGAAATATATATACATCCACCCATATGGATCTCAAATGAACAACTGTTGAGTATTTGCCTTTATGAAAAACATTATAGAAAATTTTTTTCTTATAATTAGTTCTTTTATCGATATCCGACGTTATTTAAAAAAAATGAAATTACACCTCTGATAGGGATGTCATCCCCCGGGAAATGGCAAAGGAGTCTAAATTATTTTCACTTTTGAACTTGAGAGCAAGATGAGCCTAATTTCAAAATTTCATACAAATTGGAGCACAGTAAAAAATTCAGATCTAAATGACCCTGCTCCTGGTCTCCCCTAAGCTTATCTAAAAAATACCACTATCCTTCAGATTTCCGTAACAAGGTGTCGATTTATTGCCTATAAAAATATTTACGAAAATAATTATCTAAAAAACGCAGAAAATCGATAGCACATTTTTCTAATTATTACTTGAAAAACAATCCTTATCAATATTCTACTGTTTTTTCTAATTATCATTCACTTCATATCTTCACCTGAACTGGTGATTTATGACCAGAGTTATTTTTCAATCGCATATATAGGTAGGAGGTAACTAAGTTTTTTTAGTTTTGAGGAAAAACCAAGAAAATTTTAAGGATGAACTTGATAATACATGGTGTAGTATTTTCATTAATATTTGCTGTTGCTTTTGGATTTCCTGAAGCTCAACATTTGAAAAATGATAATGGAAAAGTGAGGGAAATTGAAAATTATGCTGCTAACCAGAGTAGAAATGTGGAGAATGATTTGGTTTTGAAAAAAGTTGAACAAAGAGGTAAGAGAAAAATATTACCATAAATATTTAAATTATTTGTACACTAAATGAATTTATCAATAAAATTTATAAATATAAAAAATGTTG